GAGACCTAAAAATGGCTGTCCACCAACGTTTACCATCCAACCTGACAGAACTGGAGAGGATCTGCAAGGAGGAATGGCAGAGGATCCCCAAATCCAGGTGTGAAAAACTTGTTGCATCTTTCCCAAAAAGACTCATGGCTGTATTAAATCAAAAGGGTGCTTCTACTAAATACTGAGCAAAGGGTCTGAATACTTAGGACCATGTGATATTTCAGTTTTTATTTTTTAATAAATCTGCAAAAATGTCAACGATTCTGTGTTTTTCTGTCAATATGGGGTGCTGTGTGTACATTAATGAGGAAAAAAAATTAACTTAAATGATTTTAGCAAATGGCTGCAATATAACAAAGAGTGAAAAATTTAAGGGGGTCTGAATACTTTCCGTACCCACTGTATATATATATAATTAATTATTTAATTAATTTAATTTTAATCTCTGTAATTCAAAAATGTATGATTTCTTTAAATATTCGTATATCTAAAATAAATCTCACTCAGATATAAACCTTTCTGAAAAATAAGTTATGTTGATATGATGATTTTTTAAAAGTGCTTGCTGCATCATAAAATGCAACTCCTGCTGTGTCCGGACTGAGTGCAGACTGCTAATGGAGCGACAAAATTGACCATTTGAGTGAACTGTCACTCATTTTAGATGTTACACCTCCCCATTTATCCTAGTATGGTTTAAAAATAGATGTGGCTTCATTTTTAAATCAAATGTGCTTCTTAGAAGCTTTTTGAAAAGCTGAAGTAAGCACTAATGTGTCTTTTGTCAAAGAAATGTTGTGTGTCTTTGTTGTGCATGGAAAGGGCTCATGTGCGCTTGACCCTTCTCTTATACAAAGTGCAGTGTTTAGTCGGTTTGACACTGTTTAGTTCACTGTCAGACATGTATTAGATAGAGCTCATGTCGTGTGATTTGTCCACAGCTGTCTGCTGTACTCGCACATCTGTTGATTCTCTTATCACATACAGTCTCTGTGTATGTATTCATAAGCACAGAAGGGGAAAGTGTTCACACACACATTTTGACACGCCTGTAGAATGCGCAGAGAAGACATCACCAATTTTTTCCACATGACTGGCAAAACATCTGTTTCATTCATCTGACACTCGCTACGGGCAACTCTGCCAAACACTTGTTTTATCACAAGGACACAAATGTTCTGAAAGCATTTTTAAAGGGACATTTGGAATAAAGTAGCACAGCTAGTATATGTCACAAAAATTCATTATTTTTCATTAAATGTATTTGTAAATGTATAAATGGAATCAAATCCATTAAAATACATAATGTATGAAATAAAATAAATATATACTTAAAATAGGCTTGAATAACATTTCTTTTGTGTTTAGTGCATTTTAAATATTGTGGATGCACATGGTACTTCAGTACGAATATTAATATAAAAATATGTGTCTTTAATATAAAATTCATTGCATTTGCATTCTAATCAATTGCATTTAAAATTTGAGAAATAAAATGATTTATGATTATTTTCATCTCTGTTTCTTTGTGCTGTTGATGCAGTGGTGTTGGGGTTGCCTCTTGTGATGACGTATTTCTCACTGTCTGATAGATGGTAACGATTGCTCTCCAGTAATAAGCTTTTGAGCTGCAGGGCTGTTAGCTTGACCGATGTGTCTATATGTTTACAGCCACAGTGACAGCTCAACTAAATCAATCCATTCATAAACCTCCTGCTTTCTTATTCATCCATCTCTAGTCTATCACTTCCTGTCTCATCTATTCATCTGATCCTTCTTATCTGCCAATCAGAGCAGAAACTTAATAACTCTTTACTGAATGGTTAATTAGGACATATTATTTCAGCAATATACACCGCGTGCATAATTATTAGGCACGTTGATATTCTGATCATATTTTATTCTGATCATACCCTCACTTAATACGAATAACATGCTGAAGTATTGTGAAATACATTGAAGTGCCCCTATTATGGATTTTTGAAAATTACCTTTCTTACAGTGTGTAACACAGCTCTAAGTGAATAAAAACATTCTGCCAAGTTTTAAATCTGCAAGTGCACCGTGTATAAAGTTATTGTCTCTCCAAAGAAAGAGTCGACTCTGAATTATTGAAACGAGTCATTTGTAAAACAAATCCCAAGCCGTTTCATGTTGCCGTCAACATGAAACATTAGCATATTGCCCGTTCACTTTTCGCGTTAGTCTGAATGAAAATGCAAATTCATTCTTTGCCACTAAGTGCCACTTTTACAGGCATGATGAAATGGAAATGAGACCAATCGGACCAATCACCGCAGATTAGTGTCACGCAACGGAGGGGTTTGGAAAAATGAATCGTTGAGCGAATCGTTTGGGAGTCGTTGAGAAAGTAAGGTAAAAATAAATTCATATTATAAGACAATGAAAGTGTTTTTTGACCTTGCATGCATGTCAACCTGTTGTTGGGGACTTCCAAAACCAAAATATGAACCTTTCATTACTCATAATAGGGGCACTTTAAAGGAGACATATTATGCCCCTTTTTACAATATGTAATATAAGTCTCTGGTGTCCCCAGAATGTGTCTGTGAAGTTTCAGCTCAAAATACTCCACAGATCATTTATAATATCATTTTGAAATGCCTATTTTGAGTGGAAGCAGAAACACACTGTTTTTCGGGCCTGTCTCTTTAAATGCAAATGAGCTGCTGCTCCCCGCCCCCTTTTCCAGAATAGAGCTGCGCCATTACAGCTTGTACCTGCTAAAAAACATCTGTTTTGGTTCTGATTATAATGTTTAACGCGCTGAAATCATGTGTTTTAAACCATATGAGTTTAAACTTCTGATATACGGTTTTCTGAGTGCACACATCCGAAGCACACGGACAGAAAGCGGCTGTCACAGCATGTGAGTACTAAACTAAGTTCTCATTCACACACAAGTTTACGTTAAAAACACACACGAGTTACAAAAAACAGTCGGTTATGTCTGTTAAGGTAAACAGCTGGGAAATAAATTGCATGTGTATTTTAGATCTGTGTGGCAGCAGCAATATACAGTAAATAAATCAATAAATCCACTGCTCTCTTGTCTCCTCTGAGGCTGGGACTGCAAATAGTGTTCTGTACTCGTCTGTGCAGCCAAAGACAGAGCAGTTAGCATGTTTTGCTCGAACTTTGGCCATGGCATTAGAGCTGCTACACCGTTGTCGCTTGCGAAATCAAAATGACGGCTCTGTGGGTGGAAACTTACAGATTAAGGGGTGGTAATATTATAATGAGATCCCTTTGCCACGTCACCAAGGGAGCAAAATCAGACGCGCTCGTTTTCTCAGAAGCTTGCAGAAAAAGGCTTACCAAAAGTTACTGGGTTAATCTTTTTCAAGTTTCCTTGGGTGGTAGATGCACAGGGGACCTGATTATAGCACTTAAAACCTGGAAAAGTCAGATTTTCTTGATATGTCACCTTTAAGACTAATTTTTTTTATAGGCTTTATGGACAGATAAGTTGAGAGAGTGACTCTTGAAGGACCAGCACCACATCCTCTTGTACCACTCTTTCAAGAATTTATCTTCCAGAATATGGCAGTACGTTTTAGGTGCTCATTTTTATTCCATCTCCTATCCTGAAAAGTCTGTCTTGCAGAATTGACAAAAAATGAGCTCCTAAAACTTACTGCCAGATTCTTGAAGATAAATTCTTCAAAAAGTGGTACAAGAGGATGTGGTGCTGGTCCTTCAAGAGTCCCTCTCAACTTATCTGTCCATAAAGCCTATAAAAAAAATCAGTCTTCATGTATTTCAAACTGAAGAATATGTTATTCTTATTAAGTGAGGGTACTTTTTTTTAGGATTTTTTTACCCAAGCAAAGTCTCACCTTGTAACCTGACACCTTGTAATTCTGGAGACTCCAGGAAGGTTGCAGTTCTGGAAAATGGTGGTAAATGGTAACATGTGTCTTTTCTTCTCCACCTGTTTTTTTTTCTGACCCCGCTGTCCCAGTGAGCATTTTGCTATCCAATGGTC